GCATGATAGGTAACCCTAGTCCCCCCCACCCCCCTCCCCTTCTCCCCTTCTTAGTAGAGTTTCAATAAAGTTTCTGAATTTGACCAACTACGGTCGCACCATAAACTACAGCGAGACCTTGTGTAGTAAAGGGCAGCTAATTATGTACCACCTTTAAATCCCGCACGCCCGGACAAACGCTCCATTTCCAGGTTTCTTGTACAGTATAAAATAAGATTTCCCCTAATTAGAGTATCAATGTGTTTGTTAACCAAGTCATTCTGGTCTGTTATAAACACGGTGCTCTACTATCTTTAGTAGTTCCAACTTCAAACTCTAAATGTCTCAATTAGCAGCAAGGATAATGGCGGTAAATAGTTCTCTACTCGCAAATATATATGATCGTGCATTAAATAACCCCACAAAACCGGAAGATTTGTAATTTTTACCCTTTACTGTCCGTCTACTTTAATATTACCGTAACCTTACCGTTCAATGGATATGAGAACTTTCTAGAAGAAAATTGTAAAATCCAAATTCTGTTTACAAATCGCTTTGGAAGTATAAGCTGTGACGCCGCTTCTACTTCGCTACACCCACTCAGCGATATTTCCAAAGCAGTGGCCGTTGGCCTCTCTTGCTAGAATCCTCTCTGAAAGGAAAGGCAGGCGATTGCCTAAGCCTCAAACAAATCTATGCAGTTCATCCCAGTCAGTCAAAAAAAGAACCCGGGTCTTTGGCAATTAAACCTACCTGAAGCTTATATTCGTCAGCACAACGAGATAGTTCTAAGAAATGGAAGAAAACCAAAGTTGTTTCTGCGAGTGTCTTTTACGGAACTGGAGTTTGAAAAGAGCTTTGTCTCTTTCGCTCTCGAGTGCGAAATTCTTTTTTCAGCAATAAAAAATGCTCTGACCTTTGATGCTTCATCATCAGCAAAGTCAGAGCTTTGGCTGGGAAGAGAAGTGCGCTCCTCGGTAGACAATGTTTTACCGTTGTCATCTATGTGCACCCCATTTTTGCGCAGTTGTTCCACAATACTTTGACGACGAATCTCATCCTAAGTGTACAGAGAAAAATAGGCAAAAAATATTATTACCTTGAAAGAAATCGCATTCAGTACTCAAACCGAATATATTAATTTCAAAAAACCTCTGCATGTTCAGATGGAGTTTCCTCAGAGACGGCAGAAACCATCGGCGAAAGTTCGCGATCTAAAAAAATCTCTCAAACTACAGATTAAAACACTATACTGACGGAATTTGATAAGAGCAAGAGCGAGGATTCCACTATGAATTGTGTGTCACTACAGGCGACTTATTATATATAAAAAAAA